GGTCTGGCCCCTACCCCGCCGTATAAGCAGTGCCCTACTGTACAGTGTTCCAATTGACATGAAGAAATTCCCAGCAGGTCTAAAAAAAATGAAGTATATTTTGTGAATCTGAATCCTTACCAACCAACTCTGCAGTTGGGATTGTCTGAGGAACATTACAGACGTCTCCTCCATGGCTGCTAATTGAGCACTCTGAGAACGTAGTGAGCATAACAACTGACTGCTCTCCGAGAGTAAGAGCTTTTGCTCACGAGATAATACCTGAAAAAGTTAACGTGTATTATGAAATGCAAATCTTCCAATTACATAAAATATAATAATTTTACTCAATTATAATTAACTAAAATGAAAATTAAAGTTAAGATACATGTGACAGCTGGTCTGACCCACTTATCACTTTAACGTTCTTAGCAGTATTGAAGCAAGAAGTCTTGAAACAATAAACACAGATCCTTCCTAAGCTACATACTTGTATACATCATAAACAATAAAAACAATTAAATCACTAATTCAGATCTGTGCTTTATTTTTGTTTGTAACTTTCATCAGTATGAAACATGGCTTTGGCATATCAGTCTTGAAGAAGATGATATTTTGTATGAATTATATGAAGATACTGGTTTCACTACTGAAACAAATACGGGCGAGAATGAAGCGATCAATGTGATGATAAATACAGCGATGTACAGATAAAATAGCCAAGCAACAACCCTTACCTCAGAAGGGTGAGAATGAACGTAAGTGCTGAAAATCCTGAGAGAGTTTAAAGTGGTGATTACAATAATCGATTATCTCATCAAAATATTTTCTGAACAGTCCAAGACATAACCTAAAAAACTGAAATGGCCTTAACATTAATTCTAATCAGAGAAAAAGAAGTATTGTGAAACTCTGTGTAAAGTTCATGCTACAAACAATAAGGACAGCAAAACAAGATATACTATTAGACCCTTTACAAGCAGTACTGGTCTAAGGAGCATCACATATAACTTCAAAACATAAGTAAGAATGTATTTAAAGGCAGAACATTTAAATACTTGTAAAACATCAGAGAACAGTTTAATTAAATGGATATGCCAGTCAGCAATATGTTAAAATATTCACAGAAAGTAAACACAGCCTGTAACACGAGTCATGCAGATAAAATAAAATGCTAAAGTTTAAGACATACAGAAATACAAATTTTTTCAATATACTTTCAATCATGCTTGTATTTCACTTCAAATTTCGAGCAGCAATTGTCAAAGTAAGTAATAAGAAATCTATCACCACAAGAACTGAATGAACTTGCATGTGTATTAATGTTAATAAATCACAAGCAGAAATATTTTCCAACTATGTCATCATGATATTAAATATGGGACTTACCAAAGTTCAAGGCCTGAGGCACAACTTAGTTTAATCTTAAATTTAAAGAAGCTTCAAGCCAAAAAAATGAAAAAATTATGCGCAAGAAACAAAATCATTAAAAAACAATGAAACTCACAGTGTAAAAAAAGTCACTTTAACCCTCATTCTATGGGTATGGGGAATTCAGCTGTACATTACAAGACATAATATTATTTACCATGAGATGTATGGCAAATCCTCTGCATCTCTCAATATCAGAAGGTCCCAAATCCTTGGCTGGATTCTGAAGAGAGGTATTCAGCAATGCTAATCTTGCTATGGACCGTATAAAGTAAGTTTCACTTCCATCCCAAAGTGATAACAGCAGACCATCAATGCGCCTAAAAAGAAGCGAAATTATAAAAGTGGCAGTTTGTGCATCACATTTTATCTGTCACAAGTAGTAGCCAGAATATTACCAGAATGTGATAAAAACTAAAGAGTAATTTAAACCATTAAATCCCTTGTGCTAGAGCGTCTTGAAGAAAGTTTGGATTAATACCTTCTTTAGAATTTTATGTAAAAATATTAGATATGAATACACAAAACCACAAGTTTTCCTGAACCATCTTGAAGAAATTGAGTACTCGTATGTTTTGGCTGTGAAGAGATCTTAAAACAAACTCACAAATTATTGTAAATACTATATTGTAAAATAATGCAGTAAGTTCTGGTGTAAAAATTTGTATTTATTTGTAAAATTATATGGTAATAAGATGTCAATATCGTGACTAGGCTATGGAATGGATGACACGGGAGCGCATGATTTTACCTCTTGCCACTAGTCCACACTTGCTCTCAGGTTCACTCAACCTTCTGTCAAATGGGCACTTGTGGTTCTGTCTTGTGGCATAAAGCCACCACAGTGTGAAGCTAACCACTCACCTCCATCTAAATGTCTGTGTTAAGAATGCATGGAACTATACCTTCACTCCCCATATGGGAACATATGCACGACACTGTAACTGGGTTAACTTACTTTGACTTTATGATAACTACAATAGACTCCAAATTATCCATGTGGTTCACAGATTATTCATGCATGACTTATTTTTTCACATGGACACAGACACATATAGACCAGGTTTTGACATATTTCTGCACCATGCTGCCCCATTCAGGGGATTTAGTTTTGGGAGGGTCTACAGAAGATATTTTATTTTATTTTATTTAGTGTTCTGTCTGACGACAGGTCCATATGAACAGGATCCTTCCATCCTTTTCTCGGGTTCTAACCGCTAGACCACCGTGGCCATCATTTATTTATTTAGTGTTCTGTCTGACGCCAGGTCCATATGAACAGGATCCTTCCCTCCTTTTCTCGGCCTGGGACCTGTTCATATACGTTTTGGCAGATGATCCAGAAGTGGTTTGCCATTGCCTTCTTTTGTGTGTGAATGGAGTAATTGTTGGGATGCCACGGAGGAAAACTCCGTGTTGCCTAGACCACGGCCTTGCCCAACACAAGTTATAAATTCGGGCACCGCCGGGAATCAAACCCGAGACCCCAGGATTACAAGGCCAGCGTTCTAACCGCTAGACCACCGTGGTCTCTACAGAAGATATGGTCAAACAATACCTTTTATTTTAGTACTTTACAGTCAGTATCAGTGGTGGGGTGGGAAGGTTTGTTCCACTGTTCATGGTGGTGAAGACACGAGATACTACAGGTGCACTTAGCCTTCTTCATATATTAGTAGCGTCTTACAGCCAATTCCAGTACATTTTATTGTACATCAGTTTGGTAAAAATTATAGTTAACACTAGTAAATTCTAAGTAAGATGGCTAAAAATCACATACTGACAGTAAAAAGAAGCTTGAGGTAACTGAAAAATTTAAGAACAGAGGATCAATGACTGAATTAGCTAATGATTATGGGGTAGGGATTGAGTGATTATGTTGACAAAACTAAGCTACTTTGCTGACCTTATCAGAACTCTTGCTGATGAAAATAACAACCTAATCACATGTAATACCAACAGATAATACCAACCTAATAGGATTTTGGAAAGAAAATTATCATGTTGGGTGTTATGTATGGCATATCTTAGGCATGGTCTTTGTATATTCAGTAACACTGGTTCAATCATGGAGGAAATTTCTTCCAGATCTAGATGATCTGCAAAGGCTTCCTGATGGATAAATCGGCAAGACCAAAATTCTTGACATGGCGTGAGCTATCAGAACTTTTGAACATATGAAGACACACTGAAGAATGGCTACAGAGGGATATGTGTAAAGTTGGCATCCAGAATATCAGACAGACATTGCCAACGCTGCCAAAAAACAAATGCAAAGAGGATGAGAAAGAAATTCATACTGTGACAATGAGGAGCCCGAACGATTCACAAACACAAGTGACCATTTCAAACTATTTCTTAAAACAAATGACAGTTGCATAAAAAATGTACAGTAATTTGTGAACTTCTGTTAAATCACCAAACAAATATTTTGGATTATCCATGTGTCTTCTACCCATCATTAGCCTGGACAGTTGGGAGTTTACTGTATTCCAACTACTTTATAATAAATGAAAATAAACTTATATAAAGCTGATAAGCACCTTGTTCAGAAATTATGACAATACAATAATTTGGAACGACTTTATAATTAGGTGAGATTTCAGGTTCTTACAGCAACAGGGATGAAGATGGCCATCTTCTGGAATGCAACTGCAAAGCTGCCTGATATCAATGAACTATACATACAACTTGTCAGCTGAATTCTATTTTTGTAAATAGTGACACTTCATATGAAGGCACGAAATAATAAGTTTTATACCCTTTTATGCATACAGGATATGAAAGTGTGTTTCACATACAAATTATAGACTTATAGACACATCCTTCATGTGATGTTTTTATCATTTTGTAGGATGACCCATTATGTATTCAGATTTTTAGTAATTTAACATAAATTTCTATTCAAATCAAATTAAGAGTAACCATATCCATTTCAACAGACTATACATACTTGTTTCTGAGGTGATGAAATGATGCTCGAAGGTCTATTGGTGGCAGAGTAAACTCATATGTACCAACTTCACCTGTATTCCAATACATAAGGCCAGTCCTGTAGGACAGTCCCATTTGCTGGAGAGTCCGGAATAAATCGGCAAGCGCTTTTCGCTTCTGTTGTAGGAAGTTCTTAGCTTGAGATTTCTGCTTAGATTTGGGCAAGTCATCTGATATTTCTAAGTTCTTCAAGTGACTGGATGTTTCAATAACTTCTGTAATCAGTCCTTCCACTGTCTGAACAGATTTAGCATATGGAGTGCTCAAAATTATTTCTCTGCAAAGTTTACGAGCTTTCATAAATAGTGATCCAGATCGACTCAGAAGCGGACCCTCCATATTATCATCCCATTTCACCGTTAATTTCTGAAAACAAAATTATTAAGAACTTCCATACATAAGATAATATGACACAAAACAATGACATGGACTATAAGACAAATAAGGTGAAAGTAGTTAAGAAGGGCCATCACATAGTCAATATATGAAATTTAAGATTCTTACTGCAGTAAAGCTGCAGAGCATTATCTTCTCAGTTGAGAAGCCACACAGTTTTGTGGGTGGTTACCAGTATTTTGGTGATATTTTCCTCTGAAATGAAGATATCCGTCTTCTGGGTTGTTGCGCTGTGTAGTCTGGTCGATGTTTACCAACGTTTCAGAGGTCATATTGCCTACGTCATCAGAGTATGAAGATTTCTGTCTTCTGGGTTGTTGCGCTGTGCAGTCTGGTCGATGTTAACCAACGTTTTAGAGGTCATACTGCCTCCGTCATCAGAGTATGAAGATTTCTGTCTTCTGGGTTGTTGCGCTGTG